ACCCATTATACCTTGCTACAATATATTATTTCGATTTCGAAATAAGTTAGGGTAAAGTTGAAAAAAATGGTGACAAATATTATAACCAACACTTAATTGAAAAAATTAAAATATATATTATTTGAAGTTAAACAAAATTATTAATTTTTAATTATATCAATATTATTTTGTTTTTTCATATTATAATATTATAAATATTTTAGGTTTTCTGTATAATCTATTAATTTGTATGTTAACTTTTAAGAAATTGGTTTGACACAGTTATTGATAAATTCAAAGGATATTTTTTGAACTCCTTGAATAGATAATTTTTGGTATTTGACTCGCTACGAAATATCGTAGCGATTTGTTATTAATGTTAAGATATCAATTTTATTATAATGTTGTGGTAGTTATATCAATAAAATTTTTGCCAATGATTTTTAAAATTTGTTTGTACTTATATTTTGCAATGTTATCACGCATATTTCGGTCTTTATATGGCTGTGTAACCAACAGAACATGGAACACGTGATTCAATATTAAGAATAAAGACCAACTTGTTATTAAGGATAAATAGTTAAACTTCTTTTGATCTTTTTAAAAATTGGGTATATATATAATTTTTGAAAAACTGAAACGATTAAGTTATTGATAAATCAGAGAGTTCTAAACTAATCCTCTCAATTAAATAATTTTTTTGAAGATACCATAAAAATATATTGATGTTTGGTTGGTTACTGAATGAATAGGTAATCACCGTGATTAGTTATTAATGTTGATAAATAAGATCCAATCGTAACATTGTGATTACTAACATATTAAAATTTCCATAATTGATTTTTTAGTTTTATTTGTAATTACATTTGCAATCTTATGGAGCATATTCATATAATATTTTATGAAATTAATATATTTAATAGACATTTTTTGTAGACATGTTGTATGGTTGTTTCCAAAAAAAAAAACAAATAAATGGCGGTGATTCATGGTTACTATGAAGAATCAATTTTTATTACGACAATTATTACAAAATAATTTTCAAAATGGCACCACTTTATTTATCTAGAAAGTAGTGCTATTAACCAGATTGCACGATTTACAATAGGTAGGTGTAAAACATTTTTTACTATATTTCTTTTAATAGTAAAGTCAACCTATTTAATTAAAAAGCCAAAGTTACTATTTTATTTTATTTTATTCTATCAATCTCTTTCCAATATATATAGATGAAATATTCAGCCAGACCTAATAATATTTAATATATAAATTAATATGTGAAATTAGATTATTGTGACTCCATATCATTTTCTTAAAAAAAACTTGAATTTTTCTAAAAAAAAACTTGAATTTCCTATTTATGTCAACAAGTTGTTAAATATAATTAGTCAATATATTCACATAATTCAGAATATTTACTCACCTAAATGTTTTTTTACATATATCAGCTACAAAAAAAGTTGTCATAATCCAATTGAAAATTCAACAGCAATATACTTCAATAAAAATTCAAACATATATTTTGATGGTATAATTTTTGTTGAAATAATTTCAACGAAAAATTCAGTCGAAATTATTTCGTTTGAACGAATTTTCTATTGAATTTGATTTTTCTAACGATTTATTATTTATGAATATTAATTGGAATATTCCAATTTCTCGTTGAAAAAAATTATTTATACTATATTTAATCGAAATTGTGAGCCCAAGTAGTGGCATTAATGTAAATAAGCATCATCTGAGTGGCAAAAACGGAACTAGATTCACAATGTGGAATGATGAGGTGGGGCAGCCTTGAGGCTAATCATGTCGACCCACTCAAAAATCATCAAACATAATTTTTTTCTTTAAAAAAAAAAAAACAATAATTAATTACACTTACCCTTACACATATGACACATACATCAAATGAGAAATTTGTATAGTTTCGTTACGGTACAATTCTGTCGAGTGTTTTTACTGTTGAATCATCTATCTTATATTAATTACATGTATATCTAACAGTTAAAATACTTGACAGGACAGTACCGTAGCAAGACTGTAGCATTTCCCCAAACATACACACATACATCCAGCATAAACATATCTATATTTATATAAAAGGGAAAAAATCTTTTTCACCTCATAACAAAGACACATTAAGTTTTTCACACCGCCCAATAAAAAACTAAGTTTTTCACCTCAGAAAGTGCGAAGGTTATGCGAAAACTGTCGCATATTCTTCGCATAACTGTCCATATGCGAAGGTTATGCGAAAAACTGTCGCATAACTGTCGCATATCAATTGCATAACTGTCGCATATTCATCGCACAATGCCTTCGCACAATTATGCAATTGATATGCGACAGTTATGCGACAGTTTTTCGCATAACTGTCGCATAACTGTCGCATATCAATTGCATAACTGTCGCATATTTATCGCACAATGCCTTTGCACAATTATGCAATGGATATGCAACAGTTATGCGACAGTTTTTCGCATATCCTTCGCATATAGACAGTTATGCGATGAGTATGCGACAGTTTTCGCATAACCTTCGCACTTTCTGGGGTGAAAAACTTAGTTTTTTATTGGACGGTGTGAAAAACTTATCAAAACTTCAAAATGGGGTGAAAATAGATATTTTCACTATATAAAAAGCCATCATATTTACCAAAATTAGTAGTAAGAAAAATCAAAGGTAATTAATGCATTCTATTTCCATCAAGTATTTTATTTAATTATTTTATTTTATTATTTTATCCCATAACACATTTTCAATGCAACTTATCATGATTTTTCTATTGTGATTAAAAACAGATTTTATATTTAAAATATAATAATTATTATTATTTTTATAAAGCACATATTATTTGTTAATAAAATTATATATATAATACACATCACAGTATCATGATAAATGATTTAAATTTCAACCGAACAAAATGCCAATGTTTTAAATTTGAACACACCTATGTGTTGACCAAATATCTGGATGATTTAAAACTGAGCCCATAAAAAATATTTAAATTTAAACACACTAAAAATTTTATGTATTTTTATTTATAAATATATTTGAAAGTGGTACTTAATGACCGTTATATAAACTATTTTAATATATTTGCAATGAATAAAAGTTTGTATGAATAATTTGTAATGTTATTCATTATGTTTGTGACTTATGAGACACGAACACATAATTGCATACATATTTGTCATAAGACGGTTTAATAATTTTCCCAGATTTCTTTTTATTATATAATAAAATAATAATTAAATATTATATGGGGAACAAGAATAAGTAAAACTATTATTTTCTCTTATATCGAGGGATAAATTTATATGCTAAAATTAAATTTTTATTAGTATAAATATTTTAGTGAGATAATATATCAATTATTTTACAAGCTAGCCCTAACATGCTCATATTTAATGTTCTGGCTAAAAAAAAACATTGGTTAAAATATGTGGAAAAAAGTTTATAACCTATTGTTTTTAGACTTAACGTTGATTAAAAGAGGTAGAAAATAGATAATATATATTGCTTCTAGACTTAAATGGAAAAAGCTGTGAAAATAACTCATTTAATATCTCTATCCCGTATCGCACGGGATACGTACTAGTTAAAAACAAAAAAAAATTAATTTATCCTTATCCTTAGACATACATACATACATACATACATACATACATACATACATGAAGCATACAAGAAGGATTGACTTCATGCGGGAGAGAGAAAGAGAGAGAACGGAATGAGAAAGAAAAAAAAAGTTTCAATCCGATCCAATGGATTTTTTGACGTCCGCCATAAAACCCCTCCACACTCGGCAAACATACTTTCTCTCTCCTCTGTACATCTCTCTCTCTCTCTCTCTCTAAAAAGCGAGCTCAATTAGAACCATCTCTCTCTCTCTAGTTTTTTTTTGCTCAATTAGAGAAAACTTTTTGGCTGCAATCCACACATTCACTGTAAAAGTGTGAGTATATATTTGAGACTATATATCTACTCCCTTGACTCTTGATTTTGGGGTAATTTTTTGTGTTTTTTATTTTCTTTGATGCTTAAACGAGCAAAGAACAGCGAAGAGTGTATCAGCTTGAGACTTGAATCTTACTCAGGTAACTCTCCCTTATTCGTTTCTTATGAATTTTGCATTTTTGTTTTAATTGAGCTGTAGTTGTAGTTCAACAGATTGCTTTTATTATGTGTGTGTAATGGCGTCTTTTGTTTGGAGTAAGGAGCCCTAGCCAATATGCTTCATTTTCATTTCGGCTTGGATCGAGTGTTTTTTGTCTTCTGCTGCGAGATTTAGGGTTCAATCGTGTTTCTCATTTTTTTGTATCTATTGTTACAATTTATGTGATTATTTTTCTTTTCCTTAATCCGAAAGTTTATGTTCATATTTTTCTGATAATTTGGATTGCCAGTTTGTCGCTTCCCCCATAGAAGAATGCCTTTTTTTTTTTTTTT